CTGCGGTGATTAGCATTGCAGCGACGCTCGCGGTCCCGAACTGCAACCTTTCCTGCTGTCAACAGATGCTACTGTGGGAGGCTCAGTTAGATAAACAAATATTCCCTAATTATGAAACATAGAAGGGAAGATGGAGAGGTAGTGAAAGCAGCTAGACATTAGCTTTGGTACACATCAGCACTAATTAGCTTTGTCGCTAAGGACGGTTCGTGAAGGCTCCCAAACAGGAATACAGGAGTGTCTCAGTTCCCTTATCCTCTTTCCACATGGGCGAGTGGGAAAACAGAGTGTTGCTTCTCACAGGATTGCTCACTATTACGCTCATGCTGATGGGATGCTAATGGTGTGGTTATCTATGTAAATGTCACAGAACAAGTCTCAGCTTTCGCTCCAATCCTGCGAATGTCATACGTGTCTGGTGTCTCTTGTGCCGCTAACCTTTCTGCTCTGAATGCTTTTAAAGGAAAATAATGTTGACATCTCCCTTGTGAATGGCAAGTTAAGTCTACAAGCTAGTGAGCTATGTGTGTAGCAGGACAAACTACACTACTCTTCAAAAGTTTGGAACCACTATAATCACTTATTGTTATTATTAAAATTCTTATTATATTCAGGATAACTTACACAGATTGAGAATTTGAACTGATTAGTTACACAGTTTGAAATTGAACTTTTTGGAAGACAAGGGTCCTGTTACATCTGGAAAAAGGTAACATAGCATTCCATAAGAACATCATATCAACCTTGTCGAACATGGTGGTGGTAGTATGATGGTGCGGGGATGCTTCAGGGCCTAACAATTTGCCGTAATCAAAGGAACCATGAATGTAATCCCTATCAGTTCTGAAGCTCAAGTGTAACTGGGTTATGCACAAAGAAAATGATCCAAAGCACAAGAGCAAGTCCACTTCTGAATGGCTCAAAATAAACAGGATTAAGATTTTGGAGAGGCCTACTCAAGGTCCTGACTTAAACCCTATTGATAAGCTGCGGCAGGACCTTAAGTGGGCAGTTCATGCTTGAAGGCCTTACAGAGTGGCTAAATTAAAAACACTCTGCAGAAATCCCCACAGCAGTGTCAAAAACCTAGCTCCTGTTATAGGAAGCATTTGGTCACAGTTGTTGCTGCTAACCAGTAAGTAAGTTTAGGGGGAAAATTACTTTTTTTCACATGAGTAAAATAAGCATTGCATAATGATTTTTCTTCAATAAATGATCTTTTAAAAACTGTGTTTTGTGTTTCTTCATATTCTCCTTGTCTTATATTACAATTGATAAGTTGAACTGAAGTCAGTTAGTCTGACAAATATGCAAAAAACAGAGGAAATCAACAATATGTGCCACGAGCAATCTAGGCCACAGTGACTGCCCTGAATGACTGCTTGACCAGTGCATGAACTCCAACCATGACATTTGGAATTCTTTACACTGCGATTTGATTGGCTTGGATGTGTGTTATGTGTGTCCCTGCCACTGGGCACGTGGCACTCAGAAATGACAGCCGCGTCGCTCTCATGCTTCAGCAAAGGTGTTGCTGACATGCTGTTCTGAGAATTACTGTCTAATTACTTATAGACTGCACTGGACAGTCTGTAAGTAATTAGACAGTAGAAGAGGCAGGCATGTGCAGTGCAGTGTGTACACTGACCTGCCACTTCATTAAGTTCACTTCCTTGTATCTACACTTGTCCTTTTTACCAGCTCCACATACCATATAGATGCACTTTTTAGTTCTAGAATTACAGACTGTAGTCCATTTGTTTCTCAGCATATGGTCTTGACCATTGAATAACAGAGTAAAAGGGGGCTAACAAGGTTTTCTTAAAACAGATTATAGTCTGTATTACAGACTATAGTCTGTAATTGTGGAACTACGAAGAGCACCAGTATGGTAAGTGGAGCGGAGTGGTACGTAATGCTGGTCAGTGTATATGCAGAGTGAGTATCACTGCTGAACAAACATGTGGGTGGGACTTCCTCCAAAGGTCAACTCATGACTGTTCTTGTCCATATCAGCATATCAGCAACACCTTTGTCAAAACACGGCAGAGACATGGCTGCCATGTCTCAGAGCCACTGGCTCAGCGGCAGAGACATACATCACACACGTCACAACATCCAAGTGAGTCTGATGTGAGTACAAAACAATCCACAGAGGGACCTGGACTGATAATACTGTCAGTAGGGTTAATCACTGGATACTAGGTGCTAAGTCCTATTGATCCACATATATATATATATATATATATATATATATATATATAATATATATATATATACATATTAGGGGTGCGGGAAAAAATCGATTCTTAGATGCATCGCGATGCGGACGTGAACGATTCTGAATCGATTCATAAATGTCAAAAATCGATTTTCTAAATATTTAATTTATAACGTAATGTTGACGGAACGCAAAAGGCGGAACTTGGAAGTGCGGAAGTGCAGCGCCCGGACAGTCTGTGACGGCACACAACAAAAACACAACTGGATGCGCGAGAAATCTGACTGGCTCCCTCTGCATTAAAGCCAGGTTAGGTCAGGAGTCACAATCCAAATGTTAAGAAGAGCCATTTTGTCCTTTCTACAAAAGTCACACCACCTTGGGAGCCGCAACATTTAATGTCCTGTATGTCTCAGTATGTGATAATGTCCTAGTACAGGCTAAACAATATAAATGAGAGCGCAGATTTACTTCGCTCTGCTTTAAGCTTTAGCCGCTTTCCTCCCATCTCCGCCAGAAAACCTTTCCTCAAAAGTTGATCAGTTAAATGTCTCTCAATGTTCGACTGTTTTACGAGGCTGAAGTCGCTTCTTATTGTCCAGCTTCTTGTTCGAATTTTCCCGTTCCACCTTAAATTCTAACTGAGGCGCCGAATGTAAATGCGGCACCATTTAAGGTGGAACTGGAGAATTCGAAAGAGAAGCTGACTTCAGCTTCGCCACTTTTTAGTGTGTGACAGTCTCTCGTTACAGATTTAACCTAACGTACCAGGAAACCAACTGCACTGCTTATAAATGCGAATAACGCATCGCTGCTGTGTGACCTGCAGTCTGCACGGCAATTCTCAGTCGTTGCGAAAACAGGGTTTTCGCGCTATGTTGCACACGCCCCATCTCAAAGATACTTTACTGACACAGTGATCCCCCCGTCTCTACAACGAGACCAAAACCGAAGTTATAAAATCACTAAAGAAAACGGGTAGAATAGCTGTAACGTGCTGCGTGGACATCCACTGCCACTGGATCTTATTTCACCGTAACTGCGCATTTTATCGCAGATGAGTGGCAGCAGCTTCTCGTGCTGCAAACAAGAGCACTGAATGAGAGTCTTCTAGTTCACTTGCCACATCACTTCCATTTGTTTTATTAAAAAAAGATATTGGGAGTAAATTCATTATGGATCATTACGAATACTTTGCCTTAAAAGTATCTGGTCACTTTAAATAACAATAACACCGAGTCACTTAGTCACTTTAATATATATATTGTCTCTATATTCTGTGTATATTTTGTGTATATTTAATATATTTCAGTTTTCTTGTATTTTTATTTTTACTTATTTACTTTCTGTAGAGTGATTAGCCGAGCCTCACCACAAGCATTTCAATGCATAAATGTCCTGACATGTTGTGCAAGTGACAAATAAACTTGAAACTTGAACTCAAAACTTGAGCTCACACAGTGAAAAAATATAAATGCTATATAGAAAAAAAGATGCGTTGAGATGCATCGATAATCGTTTTATAATCGCATCGCAGCCCTCTGAATCGTAATCAAATCGAATCGTGAGGTGCCTAGAGATTCCCACCCCTTATATATATATATATATATATATATATATATATTTAGAAACATGGGCTCACATGCACACACTGCATATGCTGTGTGATTATATGAACAGTGCAACCCATAAGAAACTGGACAGGCAGAATCGTTTTATTGTTTATTGTTTTAAAACTGAATTGTCCTGACTTTTTTTAAAACGTGATCAGATTGCATGTTTTGTTCATTTTGTTCAGTGCATAAAGTACACATCCTCTACAGAGATCATACTTCTGCACAATTTAATGCATAATTACTGTTTATTTTCTGAACAAAATGTGGCCTGTGCAAAAGTTATGACACATTTTGTATGTTTCATTTTTTCCAATATGTAAAACTCAGCAAATAAATAGAAATTATGCACTTTATGTTGTAGAAAAATGTTGTATGAACTTATTTTCACTTAGAAATTCAACAAAACATGTAATTTTGCTGGGGTGTTCAAACCTTTGCATTGGACTGTACCATTCCCTCCTCGGTCTGTATGTTCCATATGTGGAAAATAAGCTGCATTTCAGGAATGATGTCACAAAAACTGATGTTTTTACATGTATCTGCCTACTCATTCTGTAGAAGATTAACCCCACCCATTCACGTTGAATTTAAGGACTGTTCAGGACATATCCATTTTAAAGGCACTGAAAAAAACATGGTCATGTAAAAAAAGTGACTGTTTTTGGTATATATAAAACTATACAGGTGTAATAAATGGACCTCAGAGGATAAAAATACAAGAAAAGTTCAGAATATGAGTCCTTTTGTATTTGCAGTTTTCAGTCTTTGTTATGCTTCTCCCCACCTAGCTCAGTAATTATGAACATTCATCCTGATGTACTTGGCGCTCTCCATTATTTTACACGACCACTACAGAGCGGTGGCTGTGTGTGTGTTTGTGTGGACATTGTACGGTGTATGTGTAATTCCTGTGTGAATATGACAGCTATCCTCCTCCCTGGGGAGGGCTGCCATAGGGGGTTACAGGCAGGCCGCTAATCAGGGAATACGGTGTGTCAGTGGTGGGATATCTCATACCTCCCTCCGTCTGCTGCTCCTGCGCCTCTTTGTCTCTATTTCATGTGAATAATGGAAAGAGCATGGAGGATGTCTATAGTTAATCTCTCTCTCTCTCTCTCTCTCTCTCTCTCTCTCTCTCTCTCTCTCTCTCTCTCTTTGTCAGGCTGCGGGTTGGGGGATGTTGTGGAGCAGTGTGCTGTGCCGGACCAGGCCCCAGTGGTGGTCCTCAGACTGACTGAAGCTCTGGAGAGACCGGGTGAGCTAATTTAACGTCATTGGCACACTAACACACCATGCAGACAGATTCACATACTTAAAGTAATAGTTCGGCAACCAGTCAAATTTACACAATTTTCCCCTTTATCCAAATGTAGGCCATCAGCCAAGACATATTTAGTGTCCAAACTATATTTGTTTAGATTTGCACTAGAGCTTCAAGGCTAATTTAGCTAATAGGTGAAGCTTATACGTTATCAGCTGGCATCATGCAAACTGCAAACATAAATCATCATACATTTGCCCCAAACTTTGCTTTTGTGTTGTTAAGTAATCTCAAATTAACCTAGTTAGAGATGGCACAATACCATATTTTTCTTTTCAGTACTGATACAGATGTTTTAGTACTAGCCAGTACTGATCTGGGATTTCTTATATTTTTGTTTACAATTGCCAAGAAGGATTTTCAGTACTGAGTTCTCTTTTTACCTTCACACAGAGCAACAACAGTGTATTTGAGCCAAACTATGAACATCTTTTCCTTGCTTGAATACAAAATGCATTCAGTTAGCGCAATTTATAAATTTCTTTCACTCACTTCTTACTCACTTCTCACTACAAAACTGTTACTCTTAACTCATAAACCTAACATGAAAATAACCTGCATATCAATTCACTAAGTCACAAACATTTTCTTGGACAACAGTCAAAGCACAAAAATGATAATAGTTATAGGTACAAACTGATGATTAACGTCTTATTCTCCAGGGTATATTTTCGTTGTAAATTTTTATTGTATTTATTTATTTATTTATTTATAGAAGCTCCCCTCAAATGAACAGAAAATGTGTTTTATGATCATACACATATTGCTATATGCTTACAATTTACTGCTGAAAGCCAAAAATCTTAGACGCTCTTTGTATTATTTTATAAAAATATTTTTTACAGAGCAGATCACTGAAGAGACACCATCTGTTTGTAGTTTATAGCCCAGATTTGTGGAAAAACTTTCAGTAGACAAAAAAAATTGTGAGTTCAGTTTCTTCTATTATAAGGGTTTAAAATTACAATCCCATCTATTTGACTGGAAAGACGACAGTTACAGCTCTCATATGACACCCACCCTTTTGAATGTAGCTTATGAAATATGAAAGTTATGAAGAATATGATGAAGTGCATTTTGTAACCACTGGTCTCAAGTAGTTGAAGAGGTTAAATGTATGTACATAGGCCAGTCACAACTGATTTCTGTTTTAGCTGGCACCCTAACCAGGTGCTGACCATCTAAGAAAAGAGGTCATTTCTGAAGGTATTTTGTGCACAAGAGCCACAGCAGTAAACAGAGGAGTGGGTGAAAGAGTAGAAGTAGTGGTTGAAGAACACAGAGTAAAAGGGAGAGGAGTGCACGTCAGAAATGATGGTCTTTCACGGCTTGTATAAGAGTTCAACCAAGTCTTTACAGTTGAACTGTGGCATCAATAGTAAGACATTTCTAACAAACCAACAATTGAGATAGGCGTTTAGCAAAAGCTGTACATTGTTTACACTGTATAGATTAACCAAATAATAACAGACTAAATACAAAACTGAAATACAGACCAAAGAATTGCTTATTACTTCTTAAATGTATGTAAAATAGTGGATCTACCACAACAGTAGATCAACAGTTGTCAGTGTTTCTGAGATGTCTGTGCTGAGACTGACAGAGTATTCTTATTGTAAGAACAGTAGTGTTGATGTTTTTCTCGAGAGTTGCATGGGAAAAGTTCTGAAAAAGTGATCGTGATAGTGAAAAATGCTTATTAGCAGTAGTAAAATGCTGTAAAAAAAACGACCTGACGAAGTCGCTACACTTTGAAATTAGCTATTTTTAATTAAAGCACTTGTAAAAACACGCTATCATGTTCAAACTACCCGAACACTCTATGACCCCGCAGGAATGAATACATAGCTAACCAGATACATTCTTTTTTTCCCCCCGATATTTTACCCAGCATTTTCTGCTAATATCAGCCCAATACTGTCATGTCATCTCTGTGTTGCTGAGCTAGAAAAAGTAGTATCAGTCATACAGAAGCCTGAATTTTTATATATTATGAGCATTTAAATATTATAATGATCTATATATTGTGTACTTGCATTATCATAACATATGTTACTTTACACTGTTGTATTTTGTCATATTGACTTCAGGCTGGGAAAACGAGACAATCTACAGGACCCCTCCTGCTTCCACCGGACCCCCTGAATTACGACAGGCCCTGGACACAGGTCAGTGCAGCTGTGCTTTATCATGCTGTTCAGTCATAGCATTTATTAAAAGTTTGAAAGTTGTTATTAGTTTAGTGCAGCACATATATTTTGGAGGGGTGGTTTTGAAGGTCATATTCTTTGCAAAGCTCAAACAGTGATTTTCACTATAGATGTTTAATGCTTACTTTTTACACAACGGACTGACTTATTAAATATTGTACTGTAGGCACTGCTTGTAGGTATCAGAGCAAGTCTGTATAGGCAGTGCTGTAAAAGTTGAGCTGAAAGTTTGAGCTGAAGTTCAGGTTAGCACCACAAGGGAGTGCTCTGGCTCTGTACTTTTTTCGGCTGTGCCACTTCCAAAAATAACTGAGTAGCACTGGCAGAGAAGTTAAAAAATGAACTTATAAGCATAAGCATATGCCTTATCCTCTTCTCGAACAGATATCCATATACACTCATAGACATCAACACAAGTTGATGCTGATAGATGTTTTCTTGTCTGAAACTTTTTGCTTTAATTTGATATGTATGCATTTGTAATTGTCTTAACAATCAACACAAAGGCAGTAAACACACTCTCAAGGAAATAACTGAAAGCGTTATAGGTTGTAGTTGGTGCTGATGTGCACACCTCTAGAGAGTCCATGACAAATGGGTGGTCACTCCAGTCTCCTTTCAAATGGGTTTTACAGTCATGTGAGTTTGGTTATTGACATAAACATAAACAGGCTCTCTTGAGTCATACATGCACACACATACAAACACATACACTAAGTTGCCAGTTTATTATGTACACCTACCATGTATCTGCATTCATTGAGCATTTTATCAGAACCTGTATTTATTTATTGGTTCACTTTACAGTTTTATAGGTACTGACTGTATTCCATCTGTTGCTGCATAGTTTATTAGCCCCATTTACTCTGTCCATCAGTGGAAAATGACCATCATAGGACCACTGCTGCCCAGATATTATTTGGGTGGTGTCAACAGAACAGAACATTGATACCAACATTATAGTGTCATGGCTGGTTTGAGTGTATCAGCAGCACTGCTTGGGTTTTTAAACACTGTACACTTACTGGCCAGGCAAAGTACTAACCTATAGAAACAGTACGTTTATTTGTTTATTTTTAGGATCCCCATTAGCTGCTATTGCGATAGCCGCTATTCTTCCTGGGGTCCAGTAGACATACCATACATTGCAAAATACTGCAATAACAAACAACAAAACAAGTCATACAAAACACGAGTAAAAAATAAAAGGAAAACCAAAAGAAACTGAGAGAAAATAAAACACATGAAAAATGGAAAAAAAAACATAGTAGGACAATTTAAAACATAAAATAACAGTAGAAAGACAATTGAAAACAGAAAAATCACACTGAAAGAAAAGAGGGCATTTGGTATATTTTACAACTACCTTAGCCGACTCTATTCAGTATATACTGTACTGTGCAAACCAAAATAAATGATGAGACCACCCATCATTTATTTAAATGTGCAGTCAAAAAAGTTATTAATTTTTTGTTATTTAATGTCATAAAAAGCAGAAAACATATATTATATACAGAAAATTATACAAGCCTTAGCTTCTAAATACAGTATATTTTTTTAGTATTACGGCTGTCTACACTTTGTCTTTATCAGAGCTTACATAGTTTTCATGAAACTTGCTTTCAGTTTTTCAAAGAAATCTGCAGGGATATTTTTTCCACACCTCCAATGTTCAGTCTTAGCAGTTGGTTGCATTTTCTGCTTCTCACAATCCAAGTAATCCCAAACACATTCAGTGATGTTGAGGTCTGGACTCTGGGGTGGTCAGTCCATTGTTCTGAGAACACTAGCATCTTCGTTTGATTTGTAAATGCTCTTTTTGTCTATTTCATTTCCTCAGTAACGGCTTGACAGTTACATATCCTTTTAGACTCATAGTGTTGAGTTGTCTTCTCACAGTGGAAGGATGGACAGAAATGACTATTTTTTTTAGATCTAAAGCAAGAGTGGAGCTTGATTTTCTCCTCTCTGTCAAAGATGAAAGTTTTTAGCACTGTTTGATGGTGACAGTTTTGGTTGTCTACCAGGTCTTGCACGGCTGTTAGGAGTTCAATTTTCTGTACATCTAATAATAATTTTCCTCTTTCTTATGCCAGTGCAAGTTCATAACCTTTGAAATGTACACATTAAATGTGCACATTAAAGCATCATTTGGAAAATCTAATACAATATGAATAAACCTACTGCACATACACAGAACCTAGACGTTCTGACATGTATGTATGCTGACACATCCACTCAGCAGTTCACTACCTTGACCGAGAAGCATGCGTGTAACCACCTAGGGCGACTCGTAAATGCACACATCCAGCAGGAGCGAGTGTGTTGACGTATGAGCTCTGACATTATGTGCATACTGGAGTACGAGCACTTCATACATGCCAAATCTGTTTAAGGGTTCTTTTCTTCATGCGTTTGTTTGTACGTTATAAATACACAATCAAAATAATGCAGTGCTGTAGATACAACATCAGTCGCACAACAGAGGGAGTTTCAGATACAACATCAGTCACGCAACAGAGGGAGTTTCAGCGTTGATTAAAGATTTGATGTCAGTGACACTTTTAGTGTGTGCCTCATCATTAATATTCAGTTAATTTTTAATTTGCTCAGGAGAAAGCACAACATGGTGTGGTGTGTCTCCTGCTGAGTATTTTGACACAAACTTTATTTTGTCACAAAACTTTGAACTTGAATCCCTGTCAACTTCTCTGTAAAATTCCTCTTGTGAACCTTCAGTCCAGCTGGGAGTTAGACATATTCAAGTGATAGTTTGGTCAAAATTTACAGCCAAGAGATGTTTACTTTCTGAAGTTTGCTTCTTTAAAGTTTTAGCGGATCTATGAGGCTAACAAGCTCAACAAGTAATGGAAGCTTGCTAAAACGGTCACACTTTATTTGAATAGTCCTCTATAGATGATCTACAGAGACTAATATTATTAACAAACTTTCTGGTGATACTCAGTTGATTATTGCCAACATTAAAGTTAAAATTAGGCTTAAGAGTAAATGTAGGTTTTGCCTTGGGGTTAGGGTTGAAGTTAGGTTTAGGGTTAAGGTCAGATTTAATTAAATCTTTCACATGAAATTTCAAGGTCAGTTACATTTAATAGATATTTAGTTGAAAGTTAGTTAAAAATAGACTGAGCATCTACAAAGCATCTACAGTGGACCGTGCAAATACAGTGTTACCATTAAAACTACTTCATCAGCATCATACAAAGTTGTTAAGTAATCTGAAACAAAGCAAAAGTTTGGCCACCCTTGTCACATGACTTTTACTCTACAGAGAACAAAATTCTGCACATTTTAATGCACAATTACTGTTTACTGTTTATTGCTGTGTTTTTTCCTAACCTGTTCAACTCAGTAAATAGATAAGAAGAAAAATGAAAAATGCCGTATTTAACCCTAACCCTTCCCTGTAGTGGATGTATTAACTTAGAAACACACTTAGAAAATCAACTAAACATGTCATTTGACCAGGGATGCCTATACTTTTGCATAAGACTGTATGTGGTTTCTAGCACTACGTAACATATTCTTTCCTATAAAAATGGACGATCATGCCACAGTGATTTTGGCATGGAGCTTGTATGATGCTATCTAGAGTATAAGCTTCCATTATGTTTTGGCTACATTATCCTTGTAGCTTCAGTGCAAAACCAAAAAGGTCTTAGCTGATCGACTGCGCCTGATGTAAGGGAACAATCTCTATTAGATTTTTGCAGAACTATTGATTTAAGCTGAATTCCAAAACCCTTCAGAAACCTTCAGTCTGCTATTGCTATATTTCTCTGTTCATCCTATTGGGTGTGCATGGAGCATGTTTGCCATTATGTAACAAGTGATTTATAGGAGGGAAATATTCACGCCATTACACATCCCCTCTCTGCAGCCTCTTGGCATTCACGCACCATGGATGCCATTTAAAAGGATGGCCAAGAAGTGGCGTAGTCGAGCGGCCTCAGAAACCCAGTGAAAACATTACCTCACCCAGAGCGGAGCAGCGTGGGGCACTTTCGCCCACCGCCCATTCGCAAAACGTTGGGGTGTCGTCATGGAGATAGCTAGCCGATTTTAGCCAGGGTTTACGCCTTTTGGACATGCATCTTTGAGAAAGTGAGAGAGAGAGACAGTTATGCGAAATACATGATGTGCTACAGGCACAGATACTCATACAGTGTACAGATACCCGTTAGGTGGAAACAAGGGAAGATATGTCTGTTTGTCTGGAAAGAAGCCTGTACTTCGATAATACATACATCTGCATAGTTAGTTGGCAGAACAATGAATAAGAAAGCAGTGAAGACACAGCCTAACAAAATTTCTCAACTATTTGTTTCAGGGTGATTTCATTTCTTCCCATATTGATCGTTGATTGCTTCATTTCCTTCTGTAGTATTTCATTTTCATGATATTTGTATCTGTAGCAGGTGAAAGAGGAAAGAAAATGAATAAAGGACTTCCAGAGAGATGACTTGGGAAATGAAAGGATTGACAACAGATTACACAGAGGACACACTTACCCATGTACTAATCTCATATACAGCCTGTGCGATGAGTACAAATAACGTCATATGTACATAATAAACACGGCACACACGCGCGCACACACACGCTCTGCTCAGCAGCAACCAGAAAAAGAAGTTCCGGCTCCAGTTTCCCTGGATACAGTGACACACACGCACTCAGAGAGCGGCGCTAACCTGTGCCCGGCTGCAGCCCTTCTGTCTCCCCTTTCCCTCGCTCTCTATCTGCACTTTTCCCCTCACTGCTGCACCTCCGTCCCCCTTTTCCACTCTCTTTCTCTGGGACGGGAGAAGCTGAGCTAAGCAAAACACAATTTTAAAATCGCTGCTCTCATCTTCCGCCCTGCCTCTGCTCCCATTGGCTGCCAATGATGTCATCCTGTCCTGTATGCCATAGTCAATAACCTATTAGAGGCCAGTATTTTA